TGCTAACTTTGGTTATAAATATTTTATAGCCTTGTTATATTTTGGTAAGACCGTCGTTATTAAATCAAAATGATAAAATTCTCGAGAATTATTTTAAAGCATAAAAGAAATTGTGAATTTATAAATCTTTTCAAAAAAGAAACAAGTATATATGTTCTTATCATAAAATCATATTTTATGGTCATATTCCATGATTACATTTTATTGATAAGAGAATTATGGTTCATGACTTGCTTTGGTATGGTGATCTGGATTTGAATATATTGATCACAAAATGATTGTAAAAGTATTTGAAATTTGAGGTTTTCAATAGCCATGAACTTGGGATTGGCAATTTGGTAGTTATTATATGCATCATAAACTCATGTATAACATTTGAGATAGTTGATTTTCATTAAAAGTCATAAGCATAAACAAGATCAATAACCAAATCTACATGATTTAAGGTATGATGTTGATTACTATGGTTGGCTTAGAATAGCCATAAGTTAAAATTGATGCCACAATCTTGATCACGTTGTGCTAATTTTTAGTTATGTACATGATCTAATTCATGACTTGTATAAATGATTTACACTTCATAGTTTTATTAAAAGTTTAGAGATAGTGAAAGTATAAAATTATATTTACTTTGAAAGCAATGAGTGATTGAAAGATTTAGTGAATAAAAAAATTTTTATAGCAAGGTAAATGCTATTTGACCTATTTGGGTGATGGATATGGTTTTGCTTATGGTAATAAAATAAATAATAGTGTCCATGATGAAATAGAGTCATAAGTTTCATGAGTGGGCATGAAAATCTTAAAAAGAGACTAGAGAAAGCAAGAGTTTACTAAAGAAAAATAATTTTAAGAGTGATTATATTTGATATTATTCTTATTGACGTCTACTCTCATATTGAGTTTAAATAAAAGTTTTGAAACTTTATAAGGAAAAGAAATATCAAGGTATATGATATTGACTAGTTATCTTTCACTAAGAGTGAATTTAGAGGCCTCAACTTAAAAAAAAAAAAAAAACCCACCTAATAGTGAAAAAGATAAATGAAATGGCAATTTGATTAAATATATATGATATCTTGATAATTGAATGGGACATTCTTTAATAAAAGAATGCATATTTTCACATGGTAGAGGTGATAAGAATTAAAAGAAATAAAACTTGCCATCATAGTGTTGTAAAATTTTAAGTATAATTTTATGAGCAAATTATACAAAATAATAAGTTTAGTACAACTTATTAAAGTAAAATCATAAAAGGTCCTTAAATATCTTAAAAGGACTAAAATGATTTGATTTATTCATTGAGTTTATCCAATTGTACTAAAAGAATAATTGTATTAAAATAAGTATAGATATAGAATAGTTGAAATTTTATATTAATGAGTATAGAATTGTGGCCACAACCAATACCAACTATGTCTTAAAATGATAAGAATGAGGCAACAATATTTAGAGCATATAAATGATATACAAAATGAAAAGTTTGGATATGTTAGCTTGGATTTAAACCCTTACTATTAGACATCAATAATGGGAACCCAATTTTGAATTAATAACCTCTAATTACAAAGTTTAAGAGGTAAAAATAAGTTATTATTTTATGTCTGTTAAGCTCTAGTAAAATCTATTCAAGTTTTAGAAACTAATGTAATTCATTGCGTGGGGAGGATATATTTTATACTCTTCATAGAGTTTTAAATGTCTAAAGCAATAGGACATAATGAAAACTCTATCTATATAAACATAGAAATGGTGTCGCTTCAACAAGGAAAATCAGGATCTCTCTTGTAAATGTTTATAAATAGGATAAGCACATGGCCATAATAGTGGTAAAGTAGTTATAAACCTCTGACAAAAGAATAAATAAGTATTATGTGTGTTATATCTTCAATTCTAACATTAAGAGTTGAGGTTTAATCTACAACACCATCAATTTCGTTAGAATTTTAGATATATACATTAATTGAAGGTTTAAATCGAGAGATATCTTCTTATATTTATAATATTTATTTGTGTGAAAAGTTAAAAATTAAGCACCAACATTTCAAACTAGTGGGAATTATTGGTAGTTTAGAATGTGGTGCATTCTATATCCTACATTAGATAAAAAGATTTAATTATTGATAAATAAAAGTAATTTTTATATTAATTTTATTTATATTTTAAATAATTATGTTTGAACAAAAATAATTATCATATGACAAATAATCATAACTATTTGAATATAAATAGATTATTGTTCATAAATGTCATAATTATACAACATGTCATAACCATTTGAATAGAAATTTATGTCTAGTCATTTATTATAAATAAATCTTTCAGTATAACTATTTTCACCACTTTTACTTAGAGAGTTTTGAGATTTTATTATATCCTAAAAATATAATTGCTTTTAAAAATATATTTTTCATACCTTAAAGCTAAAATTTTTTTCTATTACTTTTATTCTCTTACTTATTCTCTCTAATAAAAGGAGTGGCAATTGGCATATTTTATGTATTTTGCACATGGAGATTTTTACAAAGGTGGGGAATCCAATTCAAGGGGTGAGTGTGACGATGACTTTCTGCAATTGGTCTGGCCACATGGCTGAGGCCTCCCTCGAAATGGAGCTCGGAACAAAGCAGACGGCTTTAGCAGCAATGTCCTTTGCTGGGTTTCCATATTGGCAATGCACGGGACAGATCGATATGGAAAGCACCAGCCCAGTGTTGCCAATCCCAAACGTGATGAAATAAAATGTCCTCCGTTCTATTTCAAGCCAAGGAACTGAGTTATCTTTTCTAGTGGTTGTGTATGCCTAACTAAATTAAACATCAAAATGGCAAGTTTGGCACAAGCTATTGTCTGATATTATATCACCCACCTATATGGAGATGCATGATTTCATTGCAGGTAAGGCTTTGAAGTTAATTTGATCAGATTTCAGTGGAGAAGGAAGGAAATGGACACGTGAAAAACAAGTTTAATGACAGGGCAAAGACACACAGCTATCAAGCGCTGCCGTACTTGCTTTATTATTAGTTGGATTGATGATATTTGATACCCTTTTTCAGCTTACTCTCTGGTCACGTGGAATTACTAATTTTGGGACTATGGAGGGATGAAAAACATTAATTACTGCAAACATAATTCAAAATGAAAATTGACAGCAATATTTACTGATTTTTTTAAAAATTATTTTAAATTAGTGTTCATGGAGATAGACATCACTCTTCAATGCTTTTCTTTTCATTTTGGTTTAAAAGATAGAAAAATCATTTCGCTTGTTGCCCATAAACGGAATAATAAAATTACATATATCTTTCAATCCTATCTACTAGTACTGTAACAAATATTGCATCCATAAGAGCTTCATTTGATTTGATATCATTTGACTAAGATTAGATATACATTATTGCCTCAAGACAAAAGGCAACAGGTGAATTGGATTGATCAACATTGATGGCGACTTACACTATTTATCTGAATAGGAAATTTCTTTTGCCGGTATTGATTTGAAAAAAATACAATATTTAGAAAGTTAGGATCACAATTAACTATTATATGCACGTAAAAAATAACTTAATAAATAAATCAATAAATTTTTAATATATAATTAAAGAAAATCAATGCAAAATTAAATTGAATTTATATATGATAAATTTGAATTTGAAATCTTAATATTTCTAAATTATTACCATTAAATAGAAGAAAAAAAAACATAAATTTAATTTTACAAATACTATACAACCTTTGCATAAAAAATACTATACATACAACCAAAAATAAGTTTTAATCAAATTTACGTATAATAAAGATTCAATTTTTTAGATTTGGAGCTTAGGTTAATTATTTTATCTTACCACTCTTAGAAGATAGAATTTAACAAATTTAAAATTTAATTCTTAATACTTATAAATATTTTTTATATCTGTAGATTGCAATCCTTTTATAAAAAAAGCTTAAATTTCTGTTTTTAAAAGTTTCAAAAGCTCCTATTAATAACTATAAGACAGGATATAATCGATCCAGGCACTTTATAATTGCTTAATGTTTGATGACTTAATTATTTTAGAAAAATAATATGTTTTTTTAAGAAACCATGATCAACTAATCAAGAAACATTTTGGATGGAAAGGACCCTGCAAAGTGAAATTTAATAAAGTCTAATACAAAGTGGGCAAGCTTAAACACCAATCACAAGTCCAATTAGCTCCAAAAAAATCTTCACCGTCTCTCTCATCATGTGACATTTGCATTTTACACGCACAATCCCATCATCATTTTCGATTAACTTTCCAACAAATTGACAATTAAATCCAATCATCATCTGCAAATAATCATTTTTTATCATTGAAAAACTTTACATTAATCACATCAGCTTAATCCCCCTTTTACTACTAACATCAACATGTAATCCAAAATCCTCTCCATCAAAAAATCAGCGCTTTTTTCTTTGTCCCATTAACTATTATTTCTTCCGTCTCAAAAATTTTTTAATTTTTTTAATGTCTCAAAATTATATATTTTTTAAATAGTTAAATTCCTTATTTTTTATATTTCAAATTAATTTTCATGATTTTTTTACAATAAAAATTATAAAACATCAATTTTATAAAACAATTTAAACTTTATATTAATAAATTAAAATTATTTTTTTAAAAAAATTATGACAATTAATAGAGAGTAACAATTTGTGACCAAGGAATTACTTTTCCTGTACTTTCCATTGTATTGTATTTTTTTTTTGTAAAATATTAAATTTTTAATTTTAATGATTTAAGTCTAAATTTTAATAATTTAAATATAAAAAATTTTTCATCTCAAAATAAATTATCAATAATTGCGTAATTTATTAGTAAAAAATTAAATTCGTTATTTTAATGGTTAAAATAAAAAAAAATCTCAAGAATATATTGTAAGATTAGTTTTAACCGTTAATTTAAAAAGAGGGTGCGATTGAACGGTGGAAAAGTGAGGTTGAGGTGCACGTGAGAAAGAGGAGGTTTTTTGAAGCGTGATGAAAAAATGGACCCCCTGCCATTCGAGAAACCTCACTGGAAGTGACTTAATTCGGAACTTCCAAGGTCTCTCTATATTTGCCTGTCTCACAAAACAGGTGAAATACACGAAAAGAAGAGATGAGAAAGTAGTCGTGTAGAAACTAGAAAGGAAGAACGAAGCTTTAAGTCGAAATAAGGAAGCACAGTTGCTAATCAATCTCCATTGTCTAAGGAGATCAACACACTACAGACAAAATAGAAAAAAAACTCATCATCCCTCGCTTTCTGCTTCCCTTGCTTTAATATATATAAAAGAAAAAACCCCACCCTGGCCTTGTTAACAATCAACAATAATTTTAAGAAAATTACCTATTTCCTCTTTCTTTGGGTTTTTTATTTGAAGTTTGGGAGTGGGTTTTTTTTTGTTTTTAATTTGTGATGGATCCACCAGCTATGATGAGCGATGGAGGATACAATCCAGCGGAGATCTGGCAGTATCCGCTGAGTGAATCTGCGATAAGGGGGAGTCAGTTTGGACCTGGGTTGGCTCAGTTCGGGGACCCGAATCGAGAGGTTTCGGCCAATGATACGGTTAGCTTGGAGACGCTGCTGCAGCAGCAGAGACGGGGTGGTGTGAGGAGAAGGCGTGACGGGGAAGATGAAGCGGCTAAGGTTGTCTCCACTAGTAGTGGCAATGGCGTGGTATTCATTTTCATTTTCGTTCCACTTGTTCTTTTTCTTTAATCAATTGGATTTTTGTGATCTGAATTGTACTTATTCAGACGGACACTTTTTGTTTTGGTTAACATTCAACTTGTTCTAAAGCTCTTTCATTTTGAATGCTACTTCTTGTTGGGGTTTCGGGATTTGCTATTTCTCAGTTTCTGGTGATTCTTGGCACTTCTGTATTTTTATATTGTGTTAATGTTAAGGAAAATCGAGATTTCAATATGTGTCTATGGAGAAATGGTGGAAGCAAGCATAACAAGGAAAGTTTTTGGATTTAAAATAACATTTTTGTTAATAATTTGGGCAGAATGATGGTGATGGGAAGAGACTTAAAACATCAGGAGGTAGAGACGAGAATCATGATTCTAGAGCTGAAGCAGAACCCAGTTCAGGCAAGCCTGTGGAACTAAAAGCTCAACCACTCGAGCCACCTAAACAAGATTACATCCACGTACGAGCAAGACGGGGTCAAGCTACTGATAGTCACAGTTTAGCAGAAAGGGTAATTTGCTTCAGGATAAGGCTAAAATCTTTCTGAAATCCTTATGTTGGATAAAGACCAAAATTTGATATAAATTACAGGGCCTTTTGATTGTGGAACTTGTTACTAACCTATTATATTTTATTGTATCCTACTATTTTTTCCATCGTCATGGAATTTTGGCATATTGGTCAAAATTCATATATTCTGACATACCTAGACGTTTTGAGCATGTTTCATTGATCTGAATCATTTGATGGGCAGGCTAGGAGAGAAAAGATTAGTGAAAGAATGAAAATTCTTCAGGACCTGGTCCCTGGTTGCAATAAGGTATACCATGGACTCTCTAAACTGTTTCTTGCCTGCCAACTATATGCCGATTTGCCCAATATTTTGTGTTGAAGGAAAACTACTGACTAGTGTGCTGCATCCTGTCTCTACTTATTAGTAAATTGATACCTTATCTGGTGACATGGTTGGTGACTTTCTATTGCTCGTGATACCAAAACCACATTGAGATTTACTATCACTTTCCCTGAATATGGCATATTTTAAGCCACTTGCTAAGTTAGTTTTTTGGACTCAGGTCATTGGCAAAGCACTTGTCCTTGATGAGATAATTAATTACATTCAATCACTACAGCGTCAGGTTGAGGTGTGGGTCCTTCTGCTTATGTATCACTTTATTTATTTTACATTTCCCGCAATAATTTCAAACTTGCATTCTGAAAACTTATTGGCGTTGCAGTTTCTCTCAATGAAGCTTGAAGCAGTCAATTCAAGAATGAACCCTGCCATTGAAGTATTTCCTCCTAAAGACGTAAGTACTTATTCTTTTGTTGACTATTTAGTTTTATTTAATTCATTTTATACCAAAAACTTATCACATTATTTTCTAATTGCCGACATAGACACATTCTTTCTATGTTTTTTTTTTTTTTTTTTTTTCAATCATCTAAAGTTAGAGGGTCATAAGTTATATCATTCTTGAACTATGTTTGGCTTAGAATTCATGTCTGGTTGAAGGATAGTCTTCTTTGATGGTTGGTAGCCCAATATAAGAGGAAGAGCACGTCGATACTGCATTAAGTAATTAATTACTACAGAAGCTGGTTGGCAGATTCAGTTTTCAATAATAAGGGTAAATTTGATGAGGCTTGGAATTAAGATTTGTTATAATGTTATTTTCATTATTCAGATTCTTGGTTTCCTGCATAGACTTTTTGGCTTCTAATTTCTCAGCATTTTGTTGTGTTGATAGTTGGCCAAACTAATAGCTTACAAAAATGCCTATACATCTTACCTGAAATTATTAACAGATTGCATTGCATGGTTTTCTGCTAAAGCATTGGCAAAGCTCAGAAAAACAGTTATTAGTATACTATGAATCCAACACCCGAATAATATTTCTTAAAATGAGTAACCTTAGGTAGTCTCCGAGTTCTTTGTGAACTTTTTTGTGCTATTTTCATTTAATGAAATAATTCAGACATCATTGTGCAGAATTGACTGTGTTAGGGGGAAAAAGTTGGGAGCCATTCATATAAGAAATTCTCTCCTTTTTCTCCTGACTTATATCTGTTATTACATTTGATTTGGCATTTCAGTATGGCCAACAAACGTTTGATGCTGCTGGTATGGCATTTGGTTCACATGCGACAAGGGAATACAGTCATGGTACATCACCAGAGTGGTTGCATATTGGTGGTGGTTTCGGAAGAACAACATAATCTAGAAAACCCCTGGCAATTACTAATAAGAGCATTAATTTAAAATGCTTCCTTCTTGAGTTGTTGCCAGAGAAGTATACTGCATCATTTTAAACTAAAGAGACTTTATATTTCCTTTCTCAACATAAGGCATGGAGCCACAATTGATGTCCAAATGAATGCTAAAGTTAGTACCTGAACATCTTCATCGATGTGTTTTGGAGAATATGTTCGTATACTCCATATATCAAAAGTTAGGCTTCACAGCCTTCTCTGTACTCATACCCGAACAGAATCTCCTAGAATGATTATTGTTCTTGTACATGAAAGTTGATTGTTCAGAATTACTGATGCTTACATGTTGAGTCAACTTTGTTTAAACATTTGAGTTTGTTAAAATGCTGAAATTGTGATCAATAAATAAACCCCGTTTATCTTTTATTTTCCTTATATGCTTCTAAAAGTACAAGATTGACATCTGCTTTTTACTAGTATCCCTTTTTCCTAATATTATACAAAATTTCCGGTGCAAGATTCCCTTCTGACTGGTAATATGCCCTCACCTGTTCCCTCTCACCTTTTCCCCCTTCATCATAGTTTATTCTACCCTTTTCTGTTGATCGTATGAATTCTGAAAGAACAGAAGGGATGGGGATGAAGTTGGGTAGAACGTTAGGGGGATGCTGGATCGAAGCCCGACTTGGTGCGACAACACTAGGGCCAGTTACAACTCAGCCATGAATGGTTGCCTCCTCCATTACAGTCTTTTGATGAATGATATTTAGCGAATATCTAGAGGAATATCTCAAGCTGTTCATGCCTGCTCATGCAGGATGCAAACCTTAAACGCATGAAAAGCTTTATAGCAGGGCTTCCAAGTTCAGCTAGTCATATTGGTCTAAGATGCTGGCGTACTGATCGTAGGTTTCGCTGTTTACATAACACATCCTGGGTGCATCAATAACATAAGAATATTTGAAAGCATTTAAGTCTGGAAAAGCATGTACTGATTTGAGTTGTACAGTCTTATACTTTCTGATCATTAAATTGGTGAAAAGGAACTAATTTCCAGCCTTGAACAGTGAGGTTAGGCTACATGAACCATTCGATCAATATTATATTATCAAGAAGTACGATTATCACTTTTATAAGAGGAAAAAGTAGCACATCCGTATAAAATTCAAAATCCATAGATCTTTTGGAGTCAGGAATCTGGAGCCGAATCCGATAGAGATAACTTTAATATTTAGCCTTTACCCAATGGTGGGGTTATGTTATTGGCTGTGCAGAGCCAAAGGAACCTTCACCCTGATTAAAACCGTTCCCACTTGATTGGAAATACGAAACAGTAGCCAAAATCACATGTAGAAGCACGATAAGCACAAACATTATACCTCCAGGAGTGCAAACCACCTGTGATCAAATAGCTAATATCATTTCGGTTTGGCAATCATCTTCATTAGGAAAGCAAGGTGAAGGTAGCTTTTGAAGATTGATACTGTTGGCAGCATCAGTTGATAGCAGTAGTAACTTTATCCAACTCTTCAATAATGGATAGGTCTGCCTTAGACCCTCAATCAATTGAATCTTATCTAACTTTGCAGCTTGTTTTCTATCACGTAAGAATTGATAATACTGACAGATTTAGGATAATATCCAATGTAATGCTGTATTCATTAGTTACGGCATCAAGATCTTTACATGAACTTACTCCTTCCAAGTTCCACAAAAAACAACGAAATTTTTTTTGGGGGTGTTATAAATACACCACCAAAATTTCTCTGTACACCCTCAAAATTTTTTTAAAAATTACTCACATAACAAATAACAATTTTAACTTTTAATAAATAACAAAAATAATCTTAATAGCTTATACACCACAAAACTTTTTTTGTAAATCTCGGAAATAAATTTTCAAGAGTTATATTGTATTCTTAGTAATCTATTTTCGAGAAACCAATATCATTTTCAAAAATTTATTTTTGAGAACACAATATAATTCTCAAAAATTGATTTTCGAGTATTATATTACGTTCTCAAAAATAGATTTTTGAAAGTCATCTTGTATTTTCAAAAATTCATTTTCGAAAAATACATAAAATTTTGTTTAAATTATAATTAATCTTAAAATAAATAAATACATTTAATCTTGATAACATTTAATTTTGATTTAAATAAAATATATACATTTTAATCTTAAAATAAAAAATTTTAAAATAAATAAATATGATGTGCTAGGATATTCAAACGTCTATAACGATTTCTTCGATGTATGACTTAATTCCAACAATAGGGATTTCTAATCATTTAGGCCACTAGTATCTTGGTGGTCGAAAGATACTGGCAGCTGAAATATTAGAGATCCTTATTACCAGATTTGTCAGTTTGTTGACTGTCGGATATCTCTAAACTAGCATGCGTGCACACACATGAGTTGTTAGTTTTGAATTGATTAAGAGTTTTGATTTGACAAAACAAAAATTTGCTTAACTTGAATCAATCTCTTCTAATTTAAAATTGAACATTTTTTCACCATTCTATATTGCCAAAATTCATTTAGGAACCAAAACAAGTTAAATTCTCGGAACAAAAAGGGATTAATGCATGTTTTGAAAGAAAGGACCGATCCTCTAAGGGAAAGGATCGATCCCCTAGCAAAAGGGATCGATCTAGTTTTCTTCCAGAAGCAAAATTCATGAAGTTTTGGCAAAAACCAATCGATCCCCTCCCTTAAAGGGATTGATCACTTTTTCATACAGAATGCTATCTCGTTGAAAAATTTCAGAAAAGGGATCGATCCCCTCACATAGGGGATCGATCGCCTAAGGATAGGATCGATCCCTTCATAAAAAGGATTAATCGGTTGCTCATATAGAAAGCTCTTTCATTTGAAAATCCAGAAAAGGATTGATCCCACCATATAGGGGATCAATTACCTAAAGAATGGATCGATCAGGTGCATTACTTGATCGATTGGGTAAGGCATTTTAAGCACAAAATCAGGGTGTTTCAAAGTTGACCCAATCGATCCCTTAAAGGAGGGGATTGATCCCCTGAGTCTCAAAAAACCCCAACGGCTATATTTTGTCTAATATTTTTACAGGTTTGAAGCATTAAATGCAAGGCAACAGCTCTCAACTTCTTTCTACCTATAAATAAAGCCTTCCACTGTAGAACAAGAGTAAGAAAAGCTAAGATAACTTATTGTTATTCATATACTAACTTCTTCAAGCATTAAAAGCTATTCAAAGAGAGAAAAGTACAGAAATCCTACTCATATCAGTTTTTCTCTAAATTTTCTTGTCTATACTGTTGTGTACTTCAAATTAGCAAACACCTAACCTTTGAGAGATTTTTAAAGTTTGCAAAATACTTCAAAAACTTTGTATTGTAAGTTTGTAAGCTTAAGGGGAAAGATAACCCTTAAGAGTGTGTAGTGTTGATTTTGTAAAGCTTTAAGAAGCTTGGTTGTATTCTTCAACACATAATGGATTGAACTCCTTGGTAAGAGAGGCTAAAAAAGAGGACGTAGGTGCCTAAAGAAAGGACCAAACCTTTATAAATCTTGGTGTCCAATTCTCTATCTCTATATCTTATTTACTCTCATTTATTGTGTTTATTTGCTTAGATAAAGTGTTTTATGAATTTGTGCTTATTAACTATTGATTTTGAAAATTTTATTAAAACTAATTCACCCCTTTTTGGTTTATTACAACTCTTTGAGCTAACAATTGATATGAGAGCTAGTATTTTTTTATAGGTTTAACAACCCAAGAGTGATCTTGAAAATGGCTCAAAAAAATTTGATGATTAATGTGGAACAACCATCCTCAAGCTACAATAAATACAGTGGCTAACAAGAAGTGTGTCGTATGACAAATGAAATAGTTGCAACATCTCTTGAAAGTGAAGGGTATTCAATTGTAAGACCTTTTCTCTTTGTTGGTGATAACTACTCATATTAGAATACTAGGATGAGGTTATTCATTCAAGCTAATGATTATAAAGTTTGAAAGGTCATTGTAAATGGTCATCAAATTCCAATGAAGATGGTAGATGGTAGGGAAGTGATCAAGCAAGAGAGTGAATGAGATCTCAATGATATGAAGATGGCTCAATTCAATACCAAAGCAATGCATACATTCTTTTGTACATTAGGGCCTAGTGAGTACAATACAGTTTTTTGTGTGAAAATACAAAAAAAATTTAGGATAAGTTAACTGTCACTCATAAAGGTACAAATCAAGTTAAAGAGATAAAAATTGACATGCTCACTCATGATTATCAGTTGTTCAAGATGAAATTAGATGAAACCATCAGTGAGATGTCAAACTGCTTTATCGACATCATTGTAAATGGTCCTCAAATTCTATTGAAGATGGTAGATGGTAGGGAGGTGATCAAGCAAGAGAGTGAATGAGATGTCAATGATATGAAGATGGCTCAACTCAATGCCAAAGTAATGCATACAATCTTTTGTACATTGGGGCTTATTGAGTACAATAGAGTTTCTTTGTGTGAAAATGTAAAAAAAAATTAAGATAAGTTAACTGTCACTCATGAAGGTACAAATTAAGTTAAAAAGATAAAAATTAACATGCTCACTCATGATTATGAGTTATTCAAGATGAAACCAGATAAAACCATTAGTGAGATGTCAAACTGCTTTACCGATATCATTAATGGTTTAAAAGCTCTTGGGAAGACTTACTCAAATGTAGAGATGGTAAAAAAAATTCTTAACAGTCTATCAAAGAAATGGGAAGCCAAAGTGACAACCACTGAAGAGTCCAAAGATCTTCACACACTCTCTTTGGATGAACTAATGGGTTCCCTCCTTACCTTTGAGAGGAAGCTCAAAATGGGACAAGAACCAATCAAGAAATGTTACATTGCTCTCAAATCTACCTTTCAAGAAAAAAAAAGTCTTGGACAAGAAGAGGATGATGAAGATGAAGAGATGACCATGTTTACAAAGAGATTCAAGACGTTTATAAGGATGAACACAAGTTTTCAAATAGAAGAAGACCACAAAGGGAAATGACTAAAGAAAAATCAAGTAAAAGAGAAATAGATCAAATTATTTGCTATGAATGCAATAAATCGGGTCATATTAAATTTGATTGTCCTTTGTGAAAAAAGTAAAACGTGACAAAGCCAAACAAGAAAGAAATGGTAGCAACATGGAGTGATAGTGACTTCTCCGATGATGAATCAAATGAGAAGAAAGTAGTCAATCTATGTTTCATGGCTCTTGATGAACCCAAGGTAACCTCTAATCCATATGATTTAAATTCATACACATTAGATGAACTACAAGATGCCTATGATGAACTAGCCATAAAATTTGAGAACATGAACATGAAATATAGGAAAATGATCTTTAAGTTAAAAGTAGAAAATGAACTCTTGATTAAAGCAAAGAATGACTTAGAAAAGGAAGTTGAGCTATTAAAATTGAATGTTAATGACTTGATTAAGAAAAATGAAAATTTACATAACTCATTTTCTAGATTTTATATGGGACATCAAAAGCTCAATGACATGCTTAAAACACAAAGAGCATTCTTTGACAAAGATGGATTAGGCTATGATGGTGACAACAAAGAGACTCATTTAAAGAATTTTCTTATTAAGCTAAATGATTCATCTAGCATATGTGCATATTGTCATAAATTGGGTCATTCTATACAATATTGTTCCTTGAAGAAAGTCACTTATAGAGGTAAGCTCATTAGGAGAGTGTGGATTTCAAAAAGAGTTAGCACATCCCAAGATAAATTACTAAAATGAAATGGATTCCAAAAGGCACAAAAATTGTTAGTACTAACACTTAAGGACCTAAGGAAGTTTGGGTACCCAAAATAAAATTTTAATTGTGTTTTTGTAAGTGGTTAAACATTGCTTTAAAACCAATTCAAGCAAGAACAATTCATGGTACCTTGATAGTGGAAGCTCAAAACATATGACCGGAGACAAAACTTTTTTTAAAGACTTAAAAGCTAAAAGTTGAGGATACGTTACATTTGGTGACAACTTTAAAATTGAAGGGATTGGCTCAATTGGTAACAATTCCTCTACTACTATTGAAAATATTTTACTTGTGAAAGGATTCAAGCATAACTTACTTAGTATTAGTCAATTATGTGATAAATGACTTAGAGTTGTATTTGAATCCATGTGCTGTCAAGTGATTGATATCAAAACTAACAAACTTATTTTTGTTGGACATCGTCAAGAAAACATTTATGTAGTGCATCTAAATGACCTTTCTTCTAAAAATATTTTTTTTATGGCTCAAAAAGAAATTAAAAGTGGGATTTGGCATAGAAGACTTGGACATGCAAGTATGCAATAATTTTAAAACTTTCTCAAAATAATTTGGTTTTTGGTTTGCCAAAATTAAAATATGAAAATGACAAGGTTTGTGATGCATGTGCTCAAACAAAATAGAAGAATTTCTTTCAAACCTAAAAATTGCATTTCAACTACTTTATATTGATATTTTTGGTCCTACTAAGACAATGAGTCTTGGTGGAAAACAATATGGGTTTGTTATTGTTGATGACTTCACTAGATTCACATGGGTTCTCTTCTTGCATTCAAAGAATGAAGCTTTGAAAAAATTCATCACTCTTAGCAAGCAAATACATAATGACAAAGGTTATTCAATTACTAGCATTAGAA